AAGTCTAAATGGCCAGAAATGGCCATTCCACTCCCCACTGCCTTTTTCGGCGATCTAGTCGCCATGTGACTATTTAGGTGCTCTAAATGGAGCCCCAAGGTAAAACGAGACGAGTAGGCCCAACAAAGCGATGGCTGAAAGATGCAAGAGAGGGTAAGGTTGAGGGGGTCTAAGTTTTGTTTATACTCAGAAGACTAAGAGCATAAGGTTAAGTCCCAGTAAACAGCCTCAGATTTGGGATCAGCTGACTGTGTCCAATCATGTCTGAGATGGCATGGGACAGTGGTGACAACTGCTTTTATAGGATTGTGACGAAAGTTCGACTGGCGTCCAGTTATTGTGCTGCATTACCCGAGGGTTGTCGTGTCTGATGACTTATGCTGTATCGGCCGGGGTGGTGGGAAGAGCGTGTTCAACTGGCGCTTGGACAGCCGCGGCTACCTGGACGCACGTGCGGTTGTGTGCGAGTGGAAGTGGATACAGTGTCTGTGGGTTAGCGAGTTTGAAAGCATTCACTGCGAATGTGAAGGACCTTGAGATAGCTGGTCTTTAACAAGGACGTCACAGCAGGATTTGTGGTCGACTTAAAGTTTGATTCCAGAGTCTGCGTTCTTGTGGCACCCAAACGCTTATTCATCACTAAAAATCATCTGACACGCTGCTAATCCACCATGCTGCATTAAAGCCTTGATCTGGAAGACTGCCAGCTGATGGAATAACTCGGTCCAGTTAGAACGAGGAGTCAGCCTGCAATGACTCCTTCCAAGTGTAGTCTTCGTGGTACTCGCACTTAGTTAGTATGTTGTATGAATTAATGTGTGTGGCACATGCAAAGGGGCTGTTCAGTTTCACCCCCACTGCAGCCGCTCCCGCCTTCATTTTCCTTGACTCTGTCATGAAACTAGGTCAAGGTGTGTGAGTGCAGGTGGATGCAGCGCAAGTCCACTATCACTATAAACTATTTCACGCGCAAGTCACTGTCTCTGAGCTCGCCATGCTGTGGACATTGTCGGCAACGACGGTCAAATTTTCTTGCATCTATAGTAGCGAACATACGTTTCCCAGGTGCCATCTCAAATGGAGAGGAGGCCATAACCGTGAAGGGTTTGATTGGAGTTCGACCTTTCCAGCAGTTAGTTTGTTCAGAAACTAGAGAGTCCCGTGCACAGCGCTCCTTATCTGGCGTATTCTGCCTGATGCGTAAGTCGAAAGTGCCAACTATTAGGCTGAATCAGACCCCTGTTTCACTGTAATCTCTCTCGCTCGCGATAACCGGCCGATCACATTGCTTAATGCCTTCAACTGTTCCTGTTAAGAACCTCCAGAAAACCAGATTGGACAAAATAGCTTAAGGTGGTGGTTGACTGAACAGTCAGTAGGCATCCAGGTGTCGTAAACCCACCTTCATGTGTATCATCGCCTCGATGGCTTTGGACCATCTGCATGGTAGGAAAATGGCAGTAGGCGAGGTCTTGGTCCAAAACTGC